TTTCCCTCTCTCTGTCTCTCTCTCTCTGGTCAAATTAAAATAAGTAAAGAAAGTAAATGAAATGAAATAAATCTTTTTTTAAAAAAAAAAAGTTGAATTCCAATTTCTCTTTTGCTTACACTTGTTATTATATGCTAAGTATAGATATTTTGAGTTATATTTACTTTTATTAAATTTAAATCATCTCTCTTTAACTCACCTTATTCTGTACATATCTATTATCCTAAGCTAACATACAACTCTACGATCTTATAAGCTCTTCCTCATCAATATGTTAATGCCTTTTGTGACTTTTGTAAACACTGGATTTTGAAACATTCCCAAACATCAGCCTAAGAATTAAGATTGAAATCCATGCATACTCCTAGTAGAAATCATGGAATTTTTACAGAAAGTCTTTGAAAAAGGTTTGAACACTGGGACCATTTGTGCTTGATAATGTCTATAAATATGAAACAAGGAAATATTTAATACAATTTTAAACATTTTCTGTATTATTTTAAAATTTTATTTATTTATATTTATTCATTCGTTTATTTTAATTTTACCCGAGAGAGACACAGAAAGAGAGGGAGAGTGAGAAAGCAAACCACCAGGTCTTGGACTTGAACCGTAGTCGGCCATGTGGGAGAGTATAGCGCCCTAACCACCACGCTACCTGCTAGCCTCCAATTTTCTTCATTATTTTTGAAGTTTATTCATTTATTTATTTCATGAGCAAGAGAGAAAGGGGAGAGAGAGAGAGAGAATCTTCAACAGAGTCTCGATCCTTTGATCCACTCTCAGCTGAATTTCAACCAGCCCTGGATTATGAGCGAGTGAATGCCTACCAGTTTCTAGACAAAAATCTTTTCAAATGGGCTTGCCTCAGAATGTCTTGTTTTACTGCTGTGCCTCTACTTGGCCCCATTTCTTAGTTATTTTAACTTTATAAAAATTATCATAACCAGTAAAATAAGATATTCTGATATAAAGTTAATGTCTTTATATAGAGGAGCTTGAAATAGTAGGGGGAAATTATAACTAAAGGAAACAGTAGATGTTTTCATTCTAGGCTTTGGAACTTTGGATTGGCTGCTGCTAACCCTGAACTTCAGAACTAGGTTTTTTTGTTTGTTTGTTTTTGCTTTATGTCAGGATTTTCCTGCCTCAGCCTCATAGTAGCTGGGACTATAGGTGCCCAGCCCACCACTGTCCCAGCTGACTTATAAGGTAAGCCAGGGATCAAACCAAGGCCTCCCATATGGCTTCAGCCAACTGATTAGCAGCATCTACTGGTGTACACTACTGGCTGAGCTGGGGCCTGGCTTTTTAATAAACAATTTTTGTTCCTTCATATGACAGTATCTCTCAATAAAAGGCTCACAGGACATTGATGTGTATTATTAAAATATAATACAAAACTTCCCCTTGATGAGAGATTTTATGAAATTCAATGTATTTTTTAAAGTGATTCTATGTTTATAAAAGAGCTTTTGTGTTTCAGTAAAGTGGCGCTCCAGCGGTCAAGCGGAATGGATGAGACTGGAGTAATTGTGTGGTATTTAGCACTTTGTCTTCTTCTGGCTTGGCTCATAGTTGGGGCAGCCCTGTTTAAAGGAATCAAGTCTTCTGGCAAGGTAATTTGGAAAACACATTAGATTGTGATGTACCTGCTTTCCAATTTTATTATAGTTCAATGTCAAGCATTACCTAATGCATGTTTTTTTTTTTTCTATAATGGGAACATTCAAATATGTGAAAAGCTTTCTAAGTAGGTGTTCTTGTTCTAAGCACATACATAAGATAAATGCTATTGTTAAAACCAAACCAAAAAAAAAAAAAAACTAGTATTAACATTATTCAACTCAAGACTTGGACCCTTGTAAATGATAGAGAATTCTGAAGCTTGAGAGTATGTTTTTAGCTTATCTGTCCCACTACATAAATAAATACCTTGGATGGATTTATATGTTTGATTGGGGACATCTAGATCCTAGTTATATCAGATAATAGTATCAAGAAGTCTTTCAATTGGAGAGAGAGAAAAAAATATATATATAGATATACATACACTATGCAACCATCTTGAGCAAAAGCCTGCCAAAATTGACTCAGAACTTCTCTCAGTGAAGAAGTCTCTTCTGAAAAACATTCTGTTATATTTTTCCACTTTGTAATTTTTTTAAACTCTCAGAGAGTCTAAAGGCAATTTAAGGGAATAACATGAAATTTTATCTGTGAGTAGTTACATGATACCTCAAAGAAGTGAATATTTATGTGAGTAGACTAGTTTCTTTGAAGGTAGAGGGCAGGAATAGCTGTGGATGGTATCTTTTATATTTCTAGTACAATATCCAATACATTCAGTTACTGTTAAGTTGTAATGACACATACTGTTCTATTATGAATCCAGTGGAAGCTTTCCAAAATATTTCAATTGCACATTTTTAAAACCCTTGGTTCCTTTTTGATGTTAATATCGAAAGAGTCCATTAAAGGCCATTTACCCAAGCAATTAATTTTTATTGAACTCTGGATGACTTATTTGAATCATCTCCTTGGGCATATTATCAAACATAAGACATCTATGGATCAAATAAATCACCCACATTAATGTAAAAGCAGCTCAAAGGCAATCTGTTCATCTGGAACCATGCATTATCCAGGACAGAAGCAGTGCATTTATGTGTGTGTGTGTGTGTGTGTGTGCGTGCTATCAAGCTCTCTTAATGGTAGCTTTAAGGAAAACAGTAACTAGTGCCCAGTATTCACTTTAATAAGCTTTCATGGGATTTGGACGTCTGTGAGGAGATATCCTCCTTCCCATGGGGGACTGAACATATATGAACCATAGCAGTCTTTAAAATAATTTCCCTTCCACTTCAAAAATGCAGTAATTCACTGTGAGGAGATATTTGATTGCTGAGGAGATACAAAGATATATTCAGAAAAGAATTCCATCTAGATTCCATTATCGCTACTGATATATTGTTTATTAAACCTGGGAAATATTCCTTTATACATCAAAGCGTTTTTGAAAATAAATTGAGTGTGATGATAACAGAAATAAGTTATGCCAATTTTGGTATGGGAATTTTCAGACTTATTAATAACCTTAAGAAATCTCTAGTACTTTATTTTACTGATCTCAACTGGCTAATTACTTTACTTATATACAATTATATACCATGATTTTTTAAAAATAACATTAAATTTTCATTATTTTTTCTTGATAGGTGGTATATTTTACAGCTCTTTTTCCGTATGTCGTCCTTCTCATTCTGTTAATACGAGGTGCAACTCTGGAAGGTGCATCAAAAGGCATTTCATACTATATTGGAGCACAGTCCAATTTTACAAAACTTAGGGAAGCTGAGGTAAGACTTAATTTGGATTTAGCATTATTTGAGGAGGAAGACCTTTAAAACAAATAGTGAAACTATCTGGTTTCATAGGAAAGTCACAACATAATAGGTTTCAAAAGAATATGTAGTTGCATTTATTAGAATTCTATCCACTAGGATGTTTTATTTGGGTATTTAACATGACACTGATGCTTTCTTATTGGAAGTGAAATAATATTGGTTAACAAGAGAATTTTAAGTCATTTTATTTATGTACCTGATTCTATATTTGACCAGAGGATTTGGGGGTTTATTAATCTGAAAAAAAGTATTTTGTGCACAAATACCTACACATTGCTGACTAGGATTTTGTGATTTATGTATAAACACATAATAGCTCTAAAGATTGCTGTTGAAAGTTCAGTAGTCTAATATATGTTTTAATTTTCCTTCAGAATTAATGTCCCAAAAGTAAAATCAAATTTTGCCTTTTGGTTTATGAAGACACAAATTTGACATGGATTAAACAAAACCGTTACTTGTGCCAGAAACATAAACATGTGCCATAAATATGAATTGGATAACCTTCTATTAAACTTTATCTCTAGAATAAGGCTGTGTATATAATAGGTACATAGAATCTTTTACAATTTGACTGCAGAGAGCATTAATAATAAGTATACTCTAGAGACTATGCTTCTATTCATACAGTTTAAGAGTGGCTTTGTTTTTTAAAGTAGTCACATCACATTTTAGGCATAAATTAAGCTTCTGGTCAGTTAAAATCCCACAATCTTATGTGACAATCAGAGAAACACTATGTTAATATTACATGTCATACTAGCAGTGCTATCCAAAATGGATATTAATTTTAATTTACGTATTATTCATGGGCAAATGCTCACTTCCAACCATTTTTTTCCTATATATTACATAAAATTGTTAATTAATTATTGTAAACTTTTTTCTGGTAAGAATGTCAAATTTATTAGCTTTTAGTTGAAATGTCCATCTCTGGTCTTGCATTGCCTTTCTTATGCTTAATAATTTTCACTCTGTGGTTAACCACAATAGTTCTAAATTAGTTAAAAACTATGAATTTTATTATTTTAGCCTGGGAGATTAACATATTATGATGTATTCATCTTAATTTATTTCTTATTTATCTTGCTCCTTACTCCTTTTAAACTTGTTTCTTAAACCTGTTCCCAATTCAAAGACCATTTTGATGATGATTAATAGACATACAGGAAGTTGGGATTCATCACCTTCTGCTAGGTTATTATACAAGATAAAATATGTTAATGTATTCATTTTTTGGGAAATTCATGATGTGTTTTTCCATGTTTTTGTATGCAAAAATGTGCAATGACTTTCCTGATGACCCAAAAGTTTTGAAAACTCATGTAAATATGAGTTATTATTCAATTATTTCCATTATTGGTGCTATGTTATACTATATTATGATAGCTATGATGCTTTCTCTAATAAGTGAACCTACCATTTTCTTTCAATCTCGTAACTTTGAGCACAGTTACAAAGCCCCTTTGATATTCTTGAAATAGCTTACAAGTCTCAAGCACCTGAGCTTTATACTTTCTTGAAACTATCTTGAACATTTTATGATGTTTTTATTGGTATGTGTTCCAGTTGACCTTTATCTTTAAAATATCAGAGCTAAACCTGAAGCTTCTTGTGAAACATACAGTTCATTCTTCCCATCCCATCAGTTCCCAACACAGCCCAACAACATTCCTTCTCTTTTGGGTTTGCTGACACTGAAAATTATTTTTCTTAGATTTTTTTTTTTATTCCTTGCAATTCGTATTAAGCATAGGATTATAAGAATAGATAATTTTCATTTTCCTTGAATATCTGACCTCAAGATCTCCAGGAGAGTAGAAAACCATGCAAATTATAGCTAGAGGGGATTTTATATCTTCAGAGACTATTTTACGTATGCCCTCATTTTATGCTGATGAATCTAAGACTGAGAAAAATTCAAGTTGAGCCAATTATACATAGCCAACTAGTGCAACTTGAATTAAGATTTCCTAATCCCTAATCTAATAATCTTGTACATAGGAATTAGATTGATAGATATGGAAATTATAGCTATTTAAAATTTCTCTTCACTTCTGTTTGCAAAATAGACATACATCATGGTATGCAGTGGCATTCCTATACAACCCAGAACTGCCACACCCACGTATATGACCTTAAGTCATATATATATATATACATACATATATATATAGTCAGTGGCAGGGCTCTCTCTTTTGGAAATTTTCAAATCCTAAGACTGTATTTATATGTGTAGGTAGAAATGTGTCTGTATGTCTATCAGTCATCTATCTTTCCATCTATCCATCCATCCATCTAGTTTCTGTCATAATGGCTTTTCGCAATCTAATATCAAG